ATAATAATAATAATAATAATAATAATAATAATAATAATAATAATAATAATAATAATACAAAGTGTAGCATTTCACCAGATGCCACTTTCTATGTAATATTATTTGCTACCCAATATTTAGTTGCTATTACTTACTTAACTTTTGTTATAGATGCATTTCAATTATTGAGTTCCTTGTAACAGAAAAGGTGGTTGTAATTAAATTATTTTTTTTTAAATGTATAATTACAAATTAAAAGTTTAATATTTTTCTATAATTTCTTTTACTTTTCCTTCTGTCTCTTCCATTCACTCATGTCTTTTTTAAGGGTGATTTTAAGGGACAGAACATCTTGTGGTTGTGATAACAGCAAACTGCCTGCCTTGGGGCAAGGCTAATGGCCCATTAAGATTAACAGGGCAGGTCCTTTTTGCTGAACTCAAAAGAAGAATGCAAGAGAAAGAGCAGAAATGAGCTAGATTCTCTTGAATGAACTTCCTCTGGTCCACAGGTCCTCATCGAGGGAAGCAATGAGTTCAAGGAAAGGGTAAACCACCTTTGACCTGGTACTACTGTATTCTGCATCTGGAATAGCTATCCAGAGCGCTGTTCAGCAAAGTCACCAAGTCTCTGTCCACCCCGTCAGGGAATCTTGGAGCAATCAGTTGCTCTCAAAAATGAATTTTGGATCAAAAGATTGAAGTGGTCTCAGAATGATGAGCAAGTGTAAATTTGGAGATAGGGTTAATATCATGCATATGCACAGGTCCCTGTATATAATATTTTGCACATGCTCTGTTTTCCTTTGGCACTTCTTTTCCATGGGCACCACTTCCACCGAAATGGGGTCTATGTACATACCCTGAATATCTCTTATCTATGCTTCATTTCTTATTCCACTGTATACTGTGATGGCGCTTATGGGCAATCACAAATATATGTCACATATATACATTAGAAACGCTTCTTATTGTGTAAATAAATACAAATAACCAGATGAAAAGTACTATTTCATAAATTACACATGCCTCCCAAATACAGTTTAGCTAAGCATATGTTATTTGCATTCATATTATCTTTTTAAAATTTTAAAATAACTTAAAATATGGGGGAAATCCAAGGCAGTGTTAGGAGTTCTTATTTTATAAGGTATTTTTATCATCTGTTCTCCATGCTTTATCACCCAATGGGTGGTTGCTCCTGTAACAGCATTTCTGTTTACTTTCTCCTCCCTGTGCCAGCCAATCTTTTCACATTCCAACCACACCTATCCTTCAACCTAAACCTAGGCCACTATGACCAATAGTTGCTATTGCTGAAGACTGATTTTAAGCTGGGAAGGACAAGAGGCAAGCAGGAATGTGAGAGCAGAAAACTCCCCAGAAAGAAGAGGTATCTTCATGGCCCATTTTCTTGGATCATTCGAAAAGACTTTGTTGCAGTCTCCTGAGAGTTGGTAGAGATGCAAAGGAGTAAAGAGGCTCCAGGTCAGTCAGGAGCCCAACAGGAAACTAGAGGAATCACTGAAATCAAGCTAGTTGTAATAGGAGACGGAGGTTGTGGAAAAACATCCATGCTCATGGTCTTTGCAGAAGGAGAATTCCCTAAGGTAAGTGTCTTTTATCCACAATATCAAGCTCACACTTCCTATTGGTACTTTGCCAAGATCTTTCCTATTTAAGACAAACTATTCAAATATAGTTTCTTCAAAATAGATCCTGTTAAGCCTCTGATACTGTTTTTCTTAAAGTGAAGTTTACCCAGGTTAAATTCTCATCACAGATACTGTAGAATAGAAACTTTCTTCTTCTTTTGTCATGGAAGAATAGCTGATGCGCTGTGGTACCAAATCTTTCTGGAGTTTTTTGTGGACGTAGACTCTGACCAAGGGTACTAGTAATACTACCAAATTTACTTTATTTAACTATTTAATTGCCAGTGATGTGCTAAGTACAGTAGAATAAGACTTGGGTAGAACAGGAAATGTTTGACTGAAAACATCTTGAAATAAAATTGGTTTGGCAAGCACAAACAGATGTGGTTATTGTAGAAACAAAAGAGAAAGAAAATCAATCAAGCTGGATTTAGCGTATTGATGAATGGACTTAGAACCTTTGGGCACATATATGAACCTGTAATATTTAAAGTTAGACTTTGCATTTGTTACATAAAAGAACTAAGAATCTTGTGGCACTTTAAAATTAGTTCATTTCTTATAGCATAAGGTTTTGTGGAGTAAAATTTATTTCATTAGGCACATGGATATATATAATATATGCACACGTGATGAGGAAGTAGTAAGCACTCAATTAGGTAATCCCTGTCTTGCTGCAGATGTCATCTGATTCCTGAGACACAGCTGCTTCCTGGTGCCAGAAGCAGGTTGAAGTGGCCTCTCCCTGGCATCTGGTTTTACCCATCCCACATCCTTCCCCAAAGAGACAGGCACAGGGCAGGAGAACATCTGGCAAGACTATACTTCAAAGCATGTCCAGCTTCACAACTGACGGCTCTATTTATTCTTACCCACCTTTCACCTGGTAAAGAGTGACCAAAGCCAATCCTTTGTAGGTTCTGGCAATGAGGAGCTGATTCCCTCCAGTTTCACATATCCCTTCATCTTCTCAAAGGGGAAAACCATAGGACAGGTGAAGCCTTGCAGAAACACCTTAAAGCAGTGACTTTCTAGTTAGCGAGCAGAGAGGAGTGAGGCATCAATGGTACCTGACTTCAGAACCTGCCAGAAAGGTAGGATAACCTTGGAAGTCAGATTTGGCCCAAGGGCCTGAATTCTATACCCTTGGCATTAACATTTGTAAACTGTCACACAATTAACTGTTAGCAAGACTGTTTTTACACCCCATCCACCCACCTTTGTAAAAAACTATTCTATTGATGCAGGCTATAGAAGTTAATACTGATAGGTTGTAAGTTAACAGTTTCATGCTGGAGTCTCCCTTGAAAATCATGTGTTTAAAATGGCCACCAAAAAAATCAGCATCTCCAATAGAAGAGAATATATGTAGGTCGGGGTTGAACTGTGGAGCCCTTGGCACTCTCTGAGCTTGGTTGTTTGCTTGCAGACATTTCATCAGCACCCTGATGATATTACCTAGTTGCGCAATGAAACGTCTACAAGCAAACAACCAAGCTCAGAGAGTGCCAAGGACTCCACAAATCAGCACCTGCATGTGTAAGATGAAATGTTTTTATCTT